CAGTGCAGAAGGAAGGAAGCCACATCAGGAGGAAAGTTCCCCATCACCTTTATCTTGAACATTGCTGGCTGCGAGACCAAAAATCCATGCCAGAGACTGTGTGGTTTGTTAGGATGGAGTTGGAGATGAGAAATCGCTGTTAGTTTGTTGTTTCCTCCATCAGTTTCTTCCAGATGTAAATAGGGAACCTTGCTGCAGTTGCTGGTTATGATGCCAATCCTCTGACTATTGATTTCTGTGGGATGATAAGACCAATTCCCATTAAGACCTAGAAGTAGGAGTTGTTTGATGACACCATGCTGTCCCTACTTGGAAAATACATCCTCCATCTGACCCATAGACTCATCTGGCAGCTCTGACAAGAGATAGCAGTGAGAGCATGGTGTGTACTCAATCATAGAACCATTAGAGTTGGAAAAGGCCTTTAAAGATCATCTGGTCCAACTCCCTTGCAATGAACCTACATCTACAGCTTTGGGTGTAGATGGCAGGTAGCTGCTCAGAGCCCCATCCAGCCCAACCTTGAGTGTTCCAGGGATGGAAGAGTGTTGACTTTTGTTTCAAAGCTAAAATTTAGAGGCTGCTTTTGAAGCAAATCATATCCTGCCAGATGCTGCTTTGCTCCAGGAGACAGGGATGCTGTTTGCAGAGGTGCCAGGTGGGGTGTCCATGGGTGATGGGCCTTCCAACAGCCTAGTAGCAGCTCCCTACAGAACGGGAGAATTGCAGCCAAGGTGGGACAAGGTTAAAGCGATGACACATGGCCATAGAAGCGAGCTCATCCTGGAAATTGTCTTTAGCTATTTCCTGAACCACATCTGACTTCTCTTAATTTTTTTTCCCACTGTTCTTATTCTTTCCCCCTTGTTTTTATTTTTGCTTTCCCCTTCAGGGAATGCTTTCATAGCAATTTCACAGGAATTCGGTTTTGGTTTTGTTTGTAACATAAGTGTTGCCAGTGGAGTGAAAACAGAATCCACAGGCGCAATTATTGGTCACAACAGAGTGAATAAAGGAATTAATTCTCTCCAGCATTGTTATGACTTTCACGTGCACAGCGATGGCACAGGCTGCTGCTCTAACTGCGGTGTCTTCAGGAGAAGGAAAATTCTCTGAAGGTTTGTGGGAGATAATTAGTTTGAACCAACCTCCAGAAAAGATGTATCCTCCTTTGGGAACCTCAGAGTTAAATGCAGGGAATGAACAGGTTCCTATGGGTGACATGAGAGGAGACAGACATCGGGCTGCTCTAAGGAGGGAGGAAGAATACTCTTCCCCTGCCATTCACTTGGCTTCTTTGTGATGCAGTTATTTGCCTTTCTGCCATGAATAGGGCAGGGATGCAGCCAATCTCTGCAGCAGTGTGGCACTAAAATTAGCTGCCTTTGATAGAAAATGCCCTGAGTTTGGCTTCGTTATGTTTGCTTGATGTTTTTGTTATTTCTTAAATATTTCAGCAGGAGGAAGCAGGTCTTCATGAGCTCCAACTGGCAAGTATCAGCAGAACCAAGGTAAATGCTATTGGTTAATCCCAGAAAAAGTGTAGAAAAGTGACTTTTTTCCAACAGTGAAATTATCAGCATAGAGAACGTCATATCTTTGTGGTCACTTTGATTTCCTGCCTTCAGCAAAGCTTTTTGTGCCCTTCCACTGTCTCCTCCTCCCTGACTGTCTGCTTCCCGCAGGTTCCCTTCAAGCCCGACCAGTCTGAGGATTTCAGCAGGGCATGAGGTCATTACTCAAGAAAAGCCAGTCCTAAAGCATCTTCCAACAATGGCCTGAGGACAGGAGCCTGGTTCTGCTTTGCTGCACAGTCCTTGCTTTCACTCTTCAGCCAAACTTGTAACAGCCCTGGGAGAAGAGTTAAACAATGAAGCAGCTGTGACATCTAGTGGCACTTGTGGCTAATTCAACTCAGACAAAAATACCCACTCTGAATATGACCATATGTATATTTGACAATCAAACCTTCATGCCCAGCCTGCAATTTCCTCTATGATGGAGGTATGGGAAAAGTAAAAATGATCATTTTTGGTCAGTGGAGGTGTAGGGTTGTTCAGCCATCCATTGCTTTTCTGCCACAACTGATGACGAAAGGTTTCTCAGAATACGAAAGTAGAAGAAAATGCTTTAAAGGAGGGATTTGAATGTTGTTCTGTGGGTTTCCACAAGTGCCAAAACAACTATAGGAATGAACAGGGAAAAAATGATGGGGGTGGGCTGATGGTTGGCAGGAACTGCTGTTTTGTCTCTGCTGATGGCACCAACAAGGTCTCCCAGGGCACAAGAGCTGGGACAGCACATGTGTACTCATCTGGCACATAGGACCTGAATTTCCTCCCTAGCTGCATGCCATTTGGACAGCAAAGGCTCATGTCCAGTGCCTAAATATAGATGCTGAGTGCTGTCTGTTATGCCCTATGGTACCCGAGGCACCTGCAGAAGGCTGGCTGGTTGAGTATAGGACTTAAGGGAAAACCAGGCCTTCCTGGAGGGGCAGGGAGAAGCTGAAGGGGTGCTGAGAGGTGGCTCGAGCTGTACTAGATGCCAGTCCACAAGCAGCTTAAATGTTCCCTGTGTTGTCTGCAACAATCTCACAAAACAAGTCATCAGGAAATCCAGAAGAGGAGATACATGGATTCATGCATGGAAATGTGCACATGGGAAATAGCATGCTGTGTGTGCTAGGAGTGAGTTACCTGTGGGAATGGAGAAGGTGAGCTTGGCAGGCACTTTCTGTACCCATCTCAGGTTCATGGGAAAGAGAGAGACTGGCGTTTGATGCAGGTGACAATTCTATCCAGGTGCTTCTGAGTGCCAGTGCTTGGAGCACAGTCTGTGTATATGCCATGGAAGTAATCATAGAATGGTTTGGATTGGAAGAGGCCTTTAAGAGCATCTCGTGCCAACCCTCTGCTATAGGCAGGGAGACCTCCTTCTAGACTAGGTTGCTCACAGCTCCATCCAGCCTGGCCTTGAGTGCTTTCAGTGAGGGGACATTCACAACCTCACTGGTCTCACAATAAAAAATTCCTTCCTAATATCTAGTCTACATCTACCCTCTTCCAGTTTAAAATACCAGACATAGGCTCTGGAGTGCAGACAGGACACCCTGCAAAACGCAGGTGTGGCTTTTCTACCTTTGGTGCTAGGAAGTCCAGATGTTTAAGGGTGATTTATTTACACTGCACATTTTGTCAGATGATGGAAACAAACAAAGCATTAGCATTGCCTTTTCTTACACAGAAGAAGCCTTGGCTGGGAGGAATTGGCTGATTTCTGTGATGGCCCCAAGGAAGTGCATAGTCCCTAAGCTCCAAATTCCCACAACTGTCCAACCAGAAGGTAAGCAAAGGAAAGAAAAACATTTTACCATTAGTTTTAAGGGAGTATCAAAAGAAGTTTAATTTTGTGCTTGCAGCGAATTCTTTTCATCTAAAGATCTAGGAAAGGCAAAATGTGAGCAGGCAGTGTGATTTTATCTTATGCTCCTGCTGGAGTTCCCAGGTAAATAAACATTAACATGACACTCTATTCCTTTCGGTTGTTGTTGTTTTTCCTATCTGAAAGTCGAGCCCTCTGCAGACATACTGGGCAGAAAGTCCTGTGTTTAACCTCACGAAGATCTGCTTTCTAACAAGATCAAAGCCCAGCTCTAAGTAAATGAGCAAAAAGATGTTTTCACTGGGATTCGGCTGTTTCTGGATGTGTGATTTCCATAAGGTTGAGCTCCAAAATCCGCATTGCTCTTAAAACGAGGTTGCACACTTAAAAATGTATTAGGAAGACCCATCCCTTCTGCAGTGACTGAAAAGCATTGTTCAGAGATTAAATCCCATGGTTTTTTTCCAACCCTTTGGCTGCCCCACACTGAGACAGAACTCAGTCTGTCCCAAGCGGTGCAGGGAAACTCCTGTGCCACCTGAGTGCTGCTCACTGCTGTATTGTTTCTCCCTGGGTTGAATGGATTCTTTGTACTTAGCTGATTGAATCAGTTAAATTAGTGTTGGCAGAACAGAGCGTTCTCTGCTAGGAACAAAGTCACTGCATTAAACCAACCCAAAACAGGCTTATTTCTTCTTATGTTCAAGTGAGTGGAGCTGGCTTCTGTCCCACAACACTTGTATTAGGGGGTAATGACTTGTGTCAACATGAGGGAATTGGGATTGTTCAGTTTGGAGAAGAGCGGGCTCAGGGGAGGCCCTATGGCTCTGAACAGCTCCCTGAGAGGAGATTGTGGCGAGCTGGGGATCCCAGGTAACAGTGACAGGATGAGAGGCAACGGCCTTAAGTTGTGCCGGAGGAGGTTTAGGTTGGATATTATGAAAAATATCAGAAAGAGTGGTAGTGCATTGGCACAGGCTGCCCAGAGGAGGGGAATCAACTCTTGAAAGGGTTGATAACTACAGCAAAAGGGGAAATGGTTTCAAGTTGAGGAAGGGAAGGTTTAGGTTGGATGTCAGGGGAAAGTTCTTTACAGAGAGAGTGGTGAGGTGCTGGAACAGCTGCCCAGAGAGGCTGTGGATGCCTTGTCCCTGGAGGTGTTCAAGGCCAGGTTGGATGGGGCCTTGGGAAGCTGGTCTGGTATTAAATGTGGAGGTTGGTGGCCCTGCATGTGGCAGGGAGTTGGAGCTTCATGATCCTTGAAGTCCCTTCCAACCCGAGCCATTCTGTGATTCTGTGATTCAGAGGGGTCCCGGGCTCGCTGTCCCTGGAGGTGGTTCAGGAACTGTGTAGAGGTGGGACTGAAGGACACGGTTAGTGGGCGCGGTGGGGATGAGCTGCATTTGGACTTGGTGACCTCAGAGGAGCTCTCAGCGTTCCTCCCCCCAGCGCCGGGGGCTCAGCGCTCACACAGGCGAGGCACTGCAGACTATAGCCCCCACAATCCCCCTCGGAGCTTTCCCGCCCCTCAGCTCCCTTCTGATTGGCTGACACCATGCGGAGGACCTTCCCCTTGAGCCAATCGCAACGCGGGGCTGCCCGGCGGCGCGCCTGTGGGGCAGTGCTCAGGCGCCGCGTAGGGCCGCCGTGGCGGTGTCATTGCGAGGGGACGATGTCTCACTGCAGCGCCGCGGCCGCCCGCCTCCTGGGCCGCTTCCTCCGCCGTGAGTACCGGCCCTCGTCCCTCAACGGCGTTCCGGGGTCTTCCGCGCTGCTTGGCAACCGGCTCCCCCCGCGGCCGCTGCTCCGGGGTAGGCCGCGGGGCCTGCGCTGAAGGGGAGCCCGGCCGCCTCCTCCTCTTCCTCCTCCTCCTCTTCCCGCCGCCTCGCAAGGTCACCCGGGGAGGGGAGAGCGGGGCTGAGCGCTCTGAGGAGAACCCGCGCCTCGGAGAGCTGAGGTTCCTCTGGATGGAGAAGCCGCTGCGCTCTGGGGTGGCTTTTTCTGTGGTGTGACCGTGGTGGAGAGGAGCCACGTCGGGCTTTTTGGGGGCAGCGAGTAGAGCTGGAGTCTTAGTGATACGTTATCCCTTTTGGAAAGGGCGAACACGAGGACAGGCTGAGGGAGCTGGGCTTGTTCAGCCTGGAGAATAGAAGGCTGCGGGGTGACCTCATTGCAGCCTTTCAGTACCTGAAGGGAGCCTGCAGACGGGGGGAGTCAACTCTTTGAAAGGGTTGATAACTGCAGGACAAGGGGAAATGGTTTTAAGTTAAGGGAGGGTAGATTTAGGTTGGATGTCAGGGGGAAGTTCTTTACAGAGAGAGTGGTGAGGTGCTGGAACAGCTGCCCAGAGAGGCTGTGGATGCCCCATCCCTGGAGTTGTTCAAGGCCAGGTTGGATGGGGCCTTGGGCAGCCTGGTCTAGCATTAAATGTGGAGGTTGGTGGCCCTGCGTGTGGCAGGGGGTTGGAGATTCACAATCCTTGAGGTCCCTTCCAACCCTGGCCATTCTGTGAACACTGACTGTGGAGCTCACCTGCTGGTTCCACACAGGACCACCCAAAACTCAAACCCTTACGTATTCACTGGAAGACCACAAGCAATCTGAGGCTAAATTTTCAGCTTATAAGCCTTTATATGCGTTGCTTTGAAGATTGTAGTAAATAAATAATTAAAAAAAAAAAAAAAAAAAAAACAACTTTATTTTTCTTTCTTTGTGCTTATTTTGGGCAGTTAATGCTGCATCCTCTACTGAAATCAGTATGGGCATGTCAAAGCACAAGAGTTGTTTCTTGGAATCTTAAGCTGAGGATTTGATGTGTTAGCCTTGCATCTTGCAGCTGGCAACAAGTGAGCAAAATTAAGCTTAATTGTTTTCAGTGAAACTCCTTGCAAGAAAAGCTTTATGCTTCTAATGTCCCTGTCCCTGGAGGCATTCAAGGCCAGGCTGGATGTGGCTCTGGGCAGCCTAGTCTGCTGGTTGGTGACCCTGCACACAGCAGGGGGATTTAAACTAGATGATCATTGTGGTCCTTTTCAACCCAGGGCATTTTGTGATTAACTTGTAGGTCAGGGACTCCTAATGTGATTCTGCAGTGCTTTAGGCTGTGGTGCTGTGGCACACCCACCCTCCCCCAGGTGTCCTTTCCTGCTTCATGTCCCCTATAAGCACCAGTAGAGAGCTGTGTTGCCTCAGCACAGTGTCTCTGTCTTATCAGTTGAACTCTTTGAGCTCACTCCTGTGAGTCTAAGAGAATTGGTTCTGTTGGTGGATGGGCGTGTAGCATCTCTGGCGTGGGTTAATTTGTACTCCAGCAAAGCTAATTTTTTACAGATTTTTATGTCTTTGAAACCCCACTTCATTCCCTTTACAAACAGCAGTCAAACAGATTGAAGGAAGAGTGCTTACGGTTCTTTTTGGGTCGTAAGGGAAGAGGTGGACTGAGTGGTTCAAGAGGTGTTCTGCTTGCAACGGTTTATAAACTCTTTTAAAGAAACTTCTGAGAGATCAAATATTCCTTCATTGAAACATTTTTCTGGTTCATTGCTCTTAAATGTTAAAAGTCTGCTGGAACCTTAAATTTGGGATGTTACGTTGGGTGGGATTGAAGCCTTTGGAAAGCTCTTACATTAAATCATGGAAATAGATTAGGGGCATAGCTCTGGCAAAGATTGCTGTAGAAGTAATGATGCAAATGGAGGATTTGTTGGGTGTTTCAGTGTGAGCAGCACTGGGACTCCCCAGCAGCACAGGGGCTCCCAGCCCTTCAGCTGCATGCATTCTCAGTGAAGTATATATGGGAAAAAGGTTGTTGTCTTGGAAGAACAGTGCCTATTTTCTCCTTAAACTCCTTACATTTGGAAGGAAGCTTCTCTCTGTGACTTCGTGGCCCAGTGCAGCCAGTATTGTTCTTTGCAGTGAGTGGGGATTTTTGGTTAGGGAACAAAGAAGTGTTGAAAGAAATAGAAATTCTTCTAAATATTGCTTTCCCATTAGTCCTACTTCTGTGTAATGTGGTGGGTGTAGCATAGTCATCACATCTGTCCTTCTATAGACTGGTTAACTTATTTCTTAAACTCTTACGCTGTGTTCGTAGATGGGGATTTCCATAATTAACAGGAACTTGGCAAGAGAAGAGTGAGGGAAGAGAAACTGAGGAGCAGTAGCTAGAAATCCTGTCCTGAGCACATAATATCTTTCTCCTTGTCTGAAAGAGAATTCTGAGCAATCCCTTGATTACGTGGGATCTCCTTGTCCTCTTCCAGCAGAAAAACTTGGGTATTTCCGCTGGTGCTCTTTGGACTTGACTCCTTTCCCTGACTTTGCCCTGAAGTCCATTCTTCCCATTTGTACTGGAGCCTATTTATTTTCTAAGGCTTTCTTCTTTTCTTACATAGGAAATAGAAAGGAATATCTTGCTTTATCTCTAAGCTCCCAGGGCATTTCAAGAAGTGATAGAGGGAGAATTTCATTTATTGCTTGTCAGTCTCCTGGCAGTGGAACTACCTGCTCAGGTCCTTCTGGAAAGGAATCTTTGTTTCTTTCCCTTGCTTTCATGCTGTGCTATTCTGTGAGCACCTTCAGATCCTTCCTTGCCTTCCAAACTTCTTTTTTTTTTTTTGGTCCAGGATAAAAGTGGGCAAGAGAGAAGCATTCTGATTTGGATTCCTCTCTATAGCTTTAGGGAATCTTGTGAGAAGTCCTGAAAATAACAAGTTTCCAACTCCATGAAGTTTGAGTTGGGAAGGGATTGAGTCCTGCTATGTGTGCTGCTGGGGTAAGCTGTACAAAGGTAACTTGGGCTTTCTTGCTTTAAATCAGATCTATTTGTTTTCCTTAAATACAAATGCAAACTATCAAAAACCAAAAATTATGTGGCAGAAGCCAAAGGGATTGCCTGAGGAAGGTTACCTGGCACTGTGTTCTGCTTTTCTGAAGGTGCACTACAGGCCTTCATTGAGCACAGTGGTATTAATGTTATTAGACCTCTGATCTGACAAAATACAGCATTTTTACTGTGCTTCTGATTGGATCTGGGTTTGCAAAGTCTTGTTCTTGTTCTCTGTGGCTTGACACAAAGCCTGCACTATTGCAGTTTGGCCTGTAAGTTAGAGCTGTACATTGAAATAGGGTCAGTGATGAGGTTAGCTTTTAGTGGCTTGTTGCTGAAGCTTTGCAAGCAGAAGAGCAAATAATTTCTTGTCCTGTCTTCCTGAAGGCACATGGATTACACTGTGGAACCCTGATTTGTTCTAACAGAAGCAATTCCTTGAACAGCAGTTGGAAGCTGTGAAACAAGATGAGCTGGTGAATGAAAGTCTAGCTGCAAATTGAGACTTGGGTTCTATTTCTGACTCTTACCTGCTGTGAACTTGGGTGTGCCGTTTCCATTTCCACCTGTCTCCTTCTCATCTCTTGTCTGTTAAATCTCTTGCTGTTTGCACCCAGGACTTGCAGCCTGTGCCATGTTCAGCAAAACTGCATTTCCAGCCGTACTTCTGCTGCTCTTACTGTGCTGATGGCCAGGGAGAAAGTTTTCTACTTCAGATGAGGTCACAGTGGGAAATAGAGAGCTGTATCGTGCCAGCTATAAGGGATAATAAAAATCTCTCATCCTAATCTATCCCAGAAAGCACAACGGGCTTTTTTTTCTTCTTTTCTTTCAAAACATACTGCTCTGCAGACACATGTATATGCTGAGCTGCCTCTACCAGAAGTCATAGAGTCACAGAATGGCCTGGCTTGAAAAGGACCACAATGCTCACCCAGTTCCAACCCCCTGCTATGTGCAGGGTCACCAACCAGCAGACCAGGCTGCCCAGAGCCACATCCAGCCTGGCCTTGGATGCCTGCAGGGATGGGGCATCCACAGCCTCCTTGGGCAACCTGTTCCAGGGCATCACCAGCCTCTGTGTGAAAAACTTCCTCCTAATATCTGACCTAAACCTCCCCTGTCTCAGTTTAAAACCATTCCCTCTTGTCCTATCACTATCCAGACCTAGTCAGCAAACTGCTCACACTTCTAGCCAGATTTTTCTAAGCCAGCTGTATTTTCTCTAAACCAAGGTTACTTTGTCATTTATGAGGTATTTTCAAGGCTAAATCCATAAAAAGTTTTGGAATTTAAGCAGTTTTTCAGTTATCGGTGCAGAAGAATAAATCTTTTCCAAGCTATCAAAGTGTGAAAAAGAAAAGACTTGAAAGCTTCTTATCCTTGAAAAATATATCCATGTATATGCCTGAAAGCTGAGAATTGGTCAACTTAAGGTTTCGAAAACGTTTTTGTGAAAGGTTGTAAATATCTGAAAATGGATATGGGATGGACAGCTGATCTTGGCACTGTGGAAGTGCTTTTATGGTATGGAGAAAGAAGGTCCTGCTAACAGTCACCTCATTCCTGCATCAGCAGTTTATATTGAAAAATATTCTTTCTGTGTAATAGCTTTTGCTTGCTTTAAGAAAACCTGGGATTTTGGGTCTCCTTTATCACTTTGCAGAAATGTGTAGAGGATGGGGATGAATTCATTTGTGAATGAAAGCAGTAGATAAGATGCTGGCATCTGTTGTTCGTCCTGACTGGGGTTCTGATGTTCAGTGTGGTGTATGTGCATGGTCTGACCCTCAGCAAACTGGGTAAATTACCGATGTGTAATACCTTAGAAAAACAAGTCATTACCACTTAAGAACTTCCAGAGCTGCTTTTAAAAGCAATTGAATCAATTCATCTTAAAAAAGGGGTGACCAGCAGGGAGGGAGAGAGAGGGAGGTGATTGTCCCCCTATGCGCAGCTCTTGTGAGGCCCCATCTGCAGTGCTGTGTCCAGGCCTGGGGCCCACAGGAAGATGTGGAGCTTTTGCAGCGGGTCCAGAGGAGGGCACTAAGATGGTCAGAGGGCTGGAGCAGCTCTCCTGTGAGGAAAGGTTGAGGGAACTGGGCTTGTTTAACTTGGAGAAGAGAAGGCTCACTGTGGCCTTCCAGTACTTGAAGGGAGCAGGAAGGGGAACAGCTGTTTATGAGGGAGGATAGTGATAGGACAAGAGGGAATGGTTTTAAACTGAGACAGGGGAGGTTTAGGTCAGATATTAGGAGGAAGTTTTTCACACAGAGGCTGGTGACACACTGGAACAGGTTGCCCAAGGAGGCTGTGGATGCCCCATCCCTGCAGGCATCCAAGGCCAGGCTGGATGTGGCTCTGGGCAGCCTGGTCTGCTGGTTGGTGACCCTGCACATAGCAGGAGGTTGGAACTGGATGAGCATTGTGGTCCTTTTCAACCCAGGCCATTCTGTGATTCTATGAAAACATAAATGTGTATGTACTTATTTGATAGGACATTTTTTAACGTGGAGCATAACGAGGCAGTGGATTAATGGTTTGCTTTCTCTTTTCTGCCTTTCTCTAGTGCACCAGAATGGAGTACGACACTGCTCTTACACAGCATCAAGGAAAAATCTATATATTAACAAAGGCACAAAGGTTATCTGTCAGGGTTTTACAGGCAAGCAGGTATGTATATGTGCAATACTTCTTCTGTCACCCTGCTGGTGCAGAAAATTATTTGGCCATGAAATATAGTAATGCATAAGAGAGATTATAGTTCGTTCTTTGTTGATAGGAAGCAAAGCTTTGTTGAATAGATCCCTTTGGCTGTGTAGTTCTCTACTTTCCAAGTCCAAATAGCATTTTTCTTAATATCAATAAACTATAGATTTTTGTTTTTCAGTGTGCAAACTTAAAACTTTGTTTTTGAGTCAACTGTGTTCTGATTCCTGACTTTATTTTATGTTTCATTTTTATTTTTGTGGTTGGCTTTGCTCTCAAGCCTTAAGCCCTGTACAACTGAAAGGGCTTCTTTGTAAAGGGAGACTTGCTCCCTTTACAAGCTTTAAAAGCTACTTTTGTAAAACCTTACAGCTTTGAAAGTGATCTTTCACATGAATGCCTTTGAACATTGATGCCCACAGGAAAAAAAATTGTTTTAATTTGAATCTCACATTCACTCTTTTACACATTTAAAAGGGGAGAAGACTGCTTGTTGCTTAACCTGTCTCCTGGTTATGGATGAGAATGGTAATTTCTTTGAATTTATCATCTGCCATAATGGCTGTGGAAAATAAAACATAGCTGCTACGTCTACAGGTGTATCAGCAACACAGGACAAATTGCTCTTTGGTGTGCCTCAGTTTAAAAGAAACAAAAACCAAATACAAACTGATAGCATATTCTGAATTGATTTAAAACAAGTTGATGCACTCTTCAGAGTAGCCGATTGTTTATTGGGGGTGAAATCACCTCATTGTAAATTGAGGTGCAATAAATTGTCTTCAGAATTATAGATGTCATCAGAGTTGGTTTTTTTTTTTTCACATTTTATTTGTTGTTATATGCTTTTTATCTTTGTTCTTTTTCTCTCATAGGGCACCTTTCACAGCCAACAGGCATTGGAGTACGGCACCAATCTAGTTGGAGGAGTTTCTCCAGGGAAAGGTGGAAAAACACATCTGGGTCTGCCTGTGTTTAATTCTGTGAAGGAGGTAATTTGTAGCAGTGACTGAAGGAGCAGACAGTTCAGTCCAAGAGCTAGTGCTGCTGAATGCTTCCATTCCTCATAGTGAAGAGACAGATGTGAACCTTGGATGTCACTATGCAAGCAAGGAAATAGAAGCCTTGTGAGAGAGGCTTTCTGTGTGGTCAAGCATGAATCTGCCTTCCACTCTGATCTTCACACTCAGCAATGCAAATATCTTTTCTTTGCAGTAGGCTTACGTTTTATGCCTGTAGCTGTTTCCTGATTGATTTTGGTTTGTGTGATGAAGTTGTGGCCAAGTATTATCTAACAGTGTTTTTAGGGGAGGTGTTTTTCAGATAGTGCTTAGGTTTCAGTTCCCTGTGCTCTGTATGTCCATCTTCAGTGAATTTAACACTTGCACGTTTATGGTAAACTGTTACATATCTATTTATTTCACTTTTGCCTGTAGAGGACATACTTGAAGTGACTAGTAATCAGATGCTCTCTTTGGGCTCATTAAACGCTTGATACCTTTTTTATTATTGTCCTTGTAGGCCAAAGAACAGACTGGTGCTTCTGCCACGGTTATATATGTACCTCCTCCATTTGCTGCTGCTGCAATCAATGAAGCAATCGATGCAGAAATGCCCCTGGTTGTTTGCATTACTGAAGGGATTCCCCAGCAGGACATGGTTCGGGTTAAACACAGACTGCTTCGCCAGAATAAGACTCGACTTGTGGGCCCAAACTGCCCTGGGGTCATCAATGTAAGTGAATTCTGAATTTGCTCCAAGGCTGAACTATTCTTAGTGATGGTTTGAATGCTTGATTTGTCTTCTTATTCTTTCTTTAGCCAGGAGAGTGTAAAATCGGTATCATGCCTGGTCACATTCACAAAAAAGGAAGAATTGGTGAGTTTTTGAATTTTTATGCATCATCTAAAAGTAATGTTTGGTGCTCTAGTATTCTTATCCACAAGGCTAACCTCATCCTACCCAGAAGACACTTAATATGCTGTGTAACACTTTGTCCTTCAGTTTGTAAGTTAGCTTTCTCATAAATCCTGAAGGCCAAAGACTTAATGATAGAGTTTGTTTCCTTAACACGATTATTCGAGCGTACTTCCAAAGAGAAGAGTTTACAAAGAACTTTCTAACCTGGGAATTCAGGCAGTAGTACCATGGTGAGTGGAACAAGCACACCCACTTCTCAGACAGGGGAGCTGAGATCAGAGAGGCAGAGAATTGTTCATAACCACACATTAGTTACAAACCCTTTAGCATGCAAGCGTTGTATGCTGATTTCTAGTGGTTCTTTGTCTTAAGCTATAGAAATAAGAATAGATTGTAACTCCTGCATTGCATTATTTAAAAGGTGCTCCAAAACATACGTTGCTATCTTAATAAATAGAGCTTCAGAAACATTGCAAGCAGCATACACTGCCATTATCTGTCAGTGAGGTATTTTGCTTATCTTAAACACAGCACCTTTTAATGTTTGTAATTTTTCTGGTGGAAAAACATGTTTGCTGTGAGGAAAGCTGTTCACTGTACTGGAACTAACAGTAGTCAGGGCAGTTTTTCTAACACAGAATCATAGAATGGCCTGAGTTGAAAAGGAGCACAGTGATCATCTAGTTTCAACCCCCTGCTCAATGTGTGCAGGGTCGCCAACCATTAGTTTGACCACTTCTGACAATGGAATAAGCTGTACCTGGTGATGCTGGAATGGAGGAAGCATTAGCACTTGTGTCAAACTGGAAATAGAAAAATCAGACCACTGCAGTTATTTCCCTTCTAGATAACATTAAACCCTTGCTCTATGACTGTAACAGTGACAATTGATATTGTCATTCAGGCTTTCTTCTGAATCAAAGTTCTGTTAAGATCTTGAGTGTCTGCAGGAGTCACAGGACCATGGAATCTGAATGAATGAATCTTTTGCACGTCAAGTGCAAAAGGATGTTTTAAATCCTGATATCCTACTGCTGCTAGAAACGTTTTTTGATAGTGATCCATGAGCCAGGGAGTAAAGATGTGAACTTTGCCACCTTCCCAACTTCATTTGACACTCACATTTGATGGAATGCTCCTCAGCCTTCTCTTGCTCTGAGGCATCCAAGAATCATTTGATAATCTTGGGATGTGAGCTTTGAAAACAGCCTCAATTTTTGGTCTGTAGTATCTGAATCTAAAACATAGGAAGTTCTTTGTGGGCTGTAGTAAGAAATAAACCCACTTCTTTGCTGGTAGACATCTGCACTCTTCTATGGTATAAACAGCAGACAAAGTTAAATGTTAGCCTAATAGTGCATTTTGCCTTCTGTTTCTGGAGTATACTAATTACACTGCTTGTTAAGTGGCTTGAAATAGATGGAAGATAATGTCTGTTTTTCTTGAAAAGCTTCCTTCTTGTAGTGTTAACAAAAATCTTGACTTTAAAAAATGGATAAAAGGCATGCAAGTATTTTGTCCCCAACCTACGATTCAGTGCTTAACTTTGGCTGCAGAAAATGTAGTTAGGTCTGGCTGGGGTTGTGGTCTCTTGTAATACTGTAATATAAACATTAAATATGTATTGTAGAACAATCAGTTGCAGCAGCAAGTATCTGAGGAATGGTAACTCTTTTATGTCATAGAATGGCCAGAGTTGGAAGGGACCTCAAGGATCATGAAGCTCCAACCCCCTGCCACATGCAGGGCCACCAACCTCCCCATTTAATACTGGACCAGGCTGCCCAGGGCCCCATTGTGGAACACCTCCAGGGACGGGGCATCCACAGCCTCTCTGGGCAGCTGTTCCAGCACCTCACCACTCTCTCTGTAAAGAACTTCCCCCTGAAATCCAACCTAAATCTTCCCTCCTTCAATGTAAAACCATTTCCCCTTGTCTTGCTATCACCTACCCTTTCAATGTAGTGTCTTTGGGTTCTGGAAGAACCTAACTGAGTTGCAACCCTGTTTTGACTTCAAGGTGTAAGCTATTTTTATACAGGACAAGGTATATATTCTATTTTGTTTCCAACTTTCTTTCCTGATGAAGTGGTAGTGTGAAGAATGCCATCTCAGCCAACATAACTGCTTTGCTGGGCAGCTTTAATCTCTTTACAATTAAGTGTCAAAAATGCCAATCACGAAATAATACAAATGTAATCTTCTATAGAGTTTTCATGTTTTGGCAATGATAGCTGAAAAACCTGACATCTTGTGTTCAGTTCAGTAAGGTGATTTTGTTGAATTTAAGAACAGCTACCTGCAGTCATGCACTCAGTGTCAAGTTTATCTCCCTTTGTTCCCAAAGGCATCGTGTCAAGATCTGGAACCCTGACCTATGAAGCTGTTCATCAGACAACGCAAGTTGGATTGGGGCAGTCCTTCTGTGTTGGTAGGTTTTCTCAGAAGCAGCCTGTAGACTCACTGGCTTTTTCTTCACAGGAACACATCCAAAATAATTACTTTCTGCAAGCCTAGAAATCGTTGGGTGGCTTATCGTTATGCTGAGAAATGAGATCTCTATCTGTTGTGAAGATATAATCCTTTTCCATTACCATTTCCACATCAGATTAATAAAAGCCTAGAAAACATCTTTGAGCAGAGAGCAGCCAACAAACGTGGCATCAGTTTAGAAACAAATTGTTCTGAGAAGTTTAATATTAATGTAAAAGGACGGAGCATTCTTAGGCATTTAGTTGGGTATTCTGAGCAAGTTGGCTCATTCACTTTTTTTTTAACAGTAAAATTCTGTTGCTGGAGTCTTAACTCAGCTGTATTTTGTGTAGAGTCTCTGTATAGGATGTGATGTTTGGCTTATGGTTTGGAAGGTGAATAATCACAGAATCACAGGATGGCCAGAGTTGGAAGGGACCTCAAGGATCATGAATCTCCAACCCCCTGCCACATGCAGGGCCACCAACCTCCCCATTTAATACCAGACCAGGCTGCCCAGGGCCCCATCCAATCTGGCCTTGAACACCTCTAGGGATGGGGCATCCACAGCCTCTCTGGGCAAATCATTCACAGATGTTTAACTTTGGATAGCAAGCTCTCTGTGAAGTAGTGGAGGAGAGATTTAGAGCAGATTCTTTGGCACTCCAAGAGCTGTTTGTCTTATGAGTCTTTGGGAATAACCTTCCTGTTGAAATTTGCTTTGAAACTGTTAATGTAAATGCAGTGTCATTATCTTGAGTTATTTTTTAATTCAATTTTACACTTTTTTTCCAGGGATTGGAGGTGATCCTTTCAATGGAACTAATTTTATTGACTGTCTTGATGTCTTCCTGAAGGATCCTCATACTGAAGGAATCATATTGATTGGGGAAATTGGAGGAAATGCTGAAGAAGATGCAGCAGCTTTCTTGAAGGAAAATAATTCTGTAAGTTTTGAAGAACTTACTTCCAAATATGTTGCTGGTTAGCCCTTTTCTGCCATGTCAAGAAAGCTTGGTTCAATTTCTAACCTCTGGTGACAAAAGAGCAAAGGATACAAGCTATCATACTTTGATATAAGAGGAATTTAACATGATTAAAGCTCCTAATTTCAGTTTAACTGTAGAGGATCAGCTCCAGATTTTTAATTCTATTATGATATTTGTAGGGAACATTTTGCTTTTTTTTTGGGAAGCATTTTGTAAAGTATTGCTTTTTATCAGGAGATGAAGTATTTCACACTTCTAGCTAAAGGTTCCACGTGGTCTGAGATTTCCAGCTCTTTGATGTATCAGCTAGCCAAAGATGTATTATTTGAAATCTGTTACCTGGAGTTGCTTTTCATTCACCCTTCACCATGTAACTCAGTGACTTTTCTTTATTGACAGGGTTCAAATGCCAAGCCAGTAGTGTCATTCATTGCTGGTCTCACTGCTCCTCCAGGCAGACGGATGGGTCATGCTGGAGCAATCATTGCTGGTGGGAAGGGTGGAGCCAAAGAGAAGATAGCTGCTCTTCAGAGCGCTGGTGTTGTTGTCAGCATGTCCCCTGCTCAGTTAGGCAGCACCATCTACAAGGTTGGTTAACTGGTATATTTGTGCACTCACACTAAGCAGGAGTCTGCTTTTGAGGGAATAAGAGTTGGCAGTGCATATCAGAGCCAAATACTCTGCTGCTCGAAGCTTGGTTAATGTAGTTATGACTTAGGTGATATGCAGCAGTAGTTATATGTAGTATTTCCTTTATAGGAAAGTGAGCAACAAAAATGCAGAAGTGATTACATTTTGCTGTGGTGTACAACTACTTGTTGAACTGTGTTTTCTGGGTTCTATCAGAGGAAGCAAAGAACCCAAATTAATTGAAAACAACCAGCCAGTCTTTGAAAGTGCAGTCAATATGGCATATAGAAATGTCTGTTAAGTACTAATTTGGAATTAGAGCTGAATGCACACAACTGAAAAACTTCTGTATGCTCTTACAGAGAATTAATGTTTTTCAAGCCAGTTCATGCAGTGTCTGGGAGCAAGTGGTTCCTTGGTATCACTGCAATCTAGCTCAATTGCTTTTTGTAGCCAGTGAGTTAATGTGAGGTGAGAGAAGGTTTGCACACATGAAGTATTTTTTAATTTAGTTTTTAATTCCTAAAATTAGATTTAAAATAAATACAAAGTAATTTAAAATATAATAGTAATAAAAGCCTTTTTTTTTTTTTTTTTTTTTTTCTTCCATCTGAAATGTCTGTTTGCTACTTGCAGGAGTTTGAGAAAAGGAAATTGCTGTAAGAGAAGATACTTTGGAATACTGTCTCCAAATCATCAGTGCAGCACCTGACCTCTGCTTATCTTCTGTTTGCTAATCTTCAGTTGCCCAAATGACTGACACTGGTCATGGAATTTGACTTGGAAGCCATAAACCTTTAGGCTAAACCTGTTTTGATGTCTCCTCGTTTCAGACGTGATCACTGCACTGTAAATCACAGCAAATTAATAAATCTACTACTAAACCTGATTCATCTTGAATTCCCGAAGCAGAACCGTTTCTTCAGCCATCATAAAGAAACTAATCAGCCTTGAATCTTTTGTAACTTAAGCACTGCCCAGTTTAAGGTAAAGTCGCTTATAGAGATGCTTTTAAAGGTCAAGGCACTGACTTTTTATGCACACAAGACAGTTTGCTTTATTTTTAAAGATCTTTCTTGTTTGTTGCTGACAAGTATGTTTGAACAATAGGCCAAAGTTTCCGTCCACTAAACCAGAGCTGCTGGATCTGAAGGGGTTGCTTGTTGATCCATGTAGCTGGCTGTGACTCCAGTCCAGACTTTCTTTTCAAGGCTGAGCCGTGCACAGTGTAGTCCTCTGCTGACACATAACTGTTGTATGGAGAGGTGGAATTTTTATGCAGAAAAATGAGTGTAACTTCCCATGCGAATATGTATATTCACAGTTGTAACTATGAAAATGGTTTGTTCTTTGGCTTACATTACATTGCTTTCCTCTTTAACCTGAGCTAGGATTGCATTGTTTGCGTGTTCTGAAATCCCAGTAATGCTGGGACATAATGGACAAGATTGAGTGATCTCTGAAAAAGAATGCAGTAAGTTATCTTACTTGTTAACCACTCCAAGCACTGTAATGGAAAGCCTTTTTTTACTTTGGAAATAGCCCGAACACAGTGCCTATAAATTAGTGTTGTAAGCTTTATCAGAGTGGGCTAAACCCAAGATTGCTTTCTTTATATAAAAATCCCTGTAACCTGGCACTTGTCTAAAGCTAACCTTGTTCCATAAAGGTGCTGTTACAAAAGCTTGTCTTGTTATTTGTTTAAAACTGTGAGCTTTCTTTCTCAAGCGCCTGTGCAATTTTGCTTCCTAATGCAAGCAGTGACCATATATCTCAAAGCTGACATTTACAGTTCTGAGAGCTAAGCCCTGAGGAAATGTGTGAAAGGACAGATCGTATATCTGCTGTTCCGGATGTGTGTTAGTGCACTTCACATGCGGTCAGAATTGGTCAGATGATGGGGTCCACAGGATGCAGGAGTTAGATGCTGTAAAACATCGGCATGATTTGCTAAAATGGACCTGACATCAAGTCACTAAACAGCTGGGAGCAACACTGAACAGTAAATCATTTGATAAAACCTATGAAAGCAGGTAGGAATTGAATGCTAGATCTGCTCTTGTTTTCAAGTAGTGCCTGATTCAGTCTGAAGCAAAAAAGACAAATCAGTGCCCTTTAGCTCAAGAAATATCAGTACTAAAATGTCTCCATCTGGGAAAGAGTGCAGTTCTTCACCAGTGAATGTCAGGATGTTGCAGCCTGTCTTCTTGTGATTCCTGCATCAAAGCTGACTCATTCTAATGGTGGGCTTCTCCACAGCAGCTTTAGGGATGGGTAATGCTTCTTGATACAGCCACCTGAATTTCATAGAATTGCAGAACGGTTTGGGTTCAAAGGGACCTCAAGGATCATGAAGTTCCAACCCCCCTGCTGCAGGCAGGGCTGCCAACCTCCATATCTAATACCAGACCAGGCTCCCCAGGGCCCCAGCCATCCTGGCCTTGAACACCTCCAGGAACGGAGCATCCACAGCCTGTCTGGGCAGCTGTTCCAGCACAACTGAAGCGTGGTAGTTTCCTGTTAAGGATTGCTCAATGGAAGCTGCTTTAGAGGCACCAGCAATTTTATAAGTTAGCCATAAACTCCATTTTACTATTTTACTCTGAGGAGGCATTCCTCATACGTTGGTATTTGAAGGAGGGTTTAAAAGTGTGACCCTGATTCTAATGGTCGCAGCAGATATTCAGGGCTACACGTTATCAGCTGCCCGGTTCTGTACAAGCCTGGGGAAGCAGTCTGTGCCAGCGTGAAGCAGAGGATCAGCTGAAGATGGAGAAGAAATCTGACTGTGATAGAAAGGCTTAATCTTTCCAGTTTTCTCTTGCTGCCTAAAAATGCACACTTGTAAAAGGCTGATGATGTTTGTCATTGATAAAGACAGTGAAAAATAGATTCACATCCGTTTCATACCATATGTGCTTATGAATAAATATTTCAAGTAATCTGAACTGGAAGATTGTTCTGGTTTCTTTTTTTTTTAAAGGAAAAAGTTGAGCTAGTGTTGAGCCTTAACCTCTGGCTACTTTATAGCTCAATAAATAGGTTTTATGTGCAAGAGAAGCACGTCTGAGGTTGCTGTTCAAATTCTCATTAGATTTTAAGAACTAATCCTCCCTTCTCCACCCCTCGTTCTCCTTGATCTAGGCTGTCCACAAATAAATATATGTACTATAGTTTGAAATTAATTAAGAGTTCTGGCACTGATCTTTCTTCTGTGGTTTTGTTGTCCAGAATTAATATTTTATGTAATATTTTTGGACAAATGAGTGTTACTTTTTTAATACGTAAAATGCTAGCTAGATTCTAGCAAATGGGTATTTATAACTCAATTTATTGAAACTCACTAACAAAAGGAAGCATTTATGCCTATTCCTTTGGCTAAAAGAGATCTTTGTGCTTGGGAGCCGGAGAAGGGAGGAGAGGCTCTGAAAGATGGACGCTGAAGTGTCAAGATGTTCTTAAAACCATAGGGGATAACTGAGAAAATGATGCTGATTTTCTCAACAGCTGTTGTAGTTTCTGAGGTTTGCCCCAATCCTTTGCCCTTTTGTTATATATGTTTTATCCTCTCGGATTCCTGTTTCCTCTGGTGCTGACACAGTGCTAATTAGAACTGGATGGATGCTGCATTGAGATGGTGTAGGTGATTTTGGTTGAACTGAAGATGCAACTTAATTCTTGGTGGATCAAATGGCAGATTTAAAGTCTTAAGGTGAGGAGGGAGCGCTCACTAATGGGCCTCACCAGTGATGAGTGGGTTAGAGGTTGCACTCTGGTAGAAGGCCACTAATTAGGTGGTCTGAAAGTAGTTAAAAAATGTGCTTTGGCCTGGGGCAGTGACTGACCCTGACACTGGTCCATGCAGGGCTGGTGGCTGGGTGCCCTCTGATAGGCATATCAAAATAGGCTGGGAAATGTTGGAATCTGAGCACTGAGGCACAGCACTGTGGTTTCAAGAACGGCCACAGGAGCTGGTTTCTGATTCCCAACCAATAAGCTCTTAACTGTGCTGAAACTGTGGAATGAAGCATCGCCTGCCAGTTCTTGCTGGTCAAGATTAGATTAAAGCTTTTCTTCAGAGGGACTCTGCAAGTCTGACGCGGGCAGGAACCTGCTGGCTGCTTCTTGAGGTGGTGATGGGGAGCCCTGTGCTGCTGAGGCCACCTGGCAGCAGGCTGTACCTGCTGGGGCAGGGCTGAGGGCTGCGGGTGCTGAGCACCACGGCTGTATGGTGACGGGGAGGCTTTTAGAATCACAGAATCATCGAATCATTAAGGTTGGAAAAGACCTTTTAGATCACCAACCCCAACCCATCCCCACCATTACTACTAACCCACGTCCCTCAGTGCTGCATCTCCATGGTTCTTGAACACCTCCAGAGGTGGTGACTCCACCACCTCCCTGCCAATGCATTACTGCTTTTTCAGGAATTATTCCTAACATCCAATCTGACCCCCCTGGCACAACCTCCCATCCCACCAACGGGGAGAGGAGGAAGACCTCCATCTCTCTTCAGCCTCCCTTCAACTCACTGCTGCTCGTAGCATCCCAAACTGATGATTAAAAACCAGCTGCTTTCTGCAGTAGCGATGTGATCTCAGAAAGGATTACATGAATCAGCCTGTTTGTACAAACTACAAATTCAGGGAACTGGGGGGAAAAAAAGCTTTCCTGTCCCATAATCACTAAACTGCATGCGGCAGTGTTTGTGCTGAGAGTAGACGCAATAGCCTGTAATGATGTCTGTGCTGTGCAGATACATAATTAAAGGTCTCTTAAAATCTGTTTTGTTGCTGTAAAAGACAGCGCAGTGAATTTATAGTTTCTAATGCATCTGTAAGGCTATGAGATGGCTGCTTTAAAAAACAACAACAAAACAAAAACCAAAAGACCCACAACAACCCACCAACCTGTTTCCATTTGATTTGCTCTCTAGGTGGCAGATTCTGACACCAAAACAGTTCTGAGTTCCCTCTCTTAACTTGAGGTCTGAAACTGTGCCGGTGAAATAGAAGATGAAAACAAAAGCAGCACTACTTTATTCTTTCTGGATGTTGTATTGATTTATGATCATATCCCTTTATCTGAGCTGGGGAGAGGTGGTAGAGAGCCCAGCTGGTTTTCCTCCCTGCGCTCTCAGCCTGCCAACAGTGCTGCTATTTCTTGTTGTTTTTCAGTCTGGTATGAGTAATGTTGTCTGAACTGAGTGGCTTTAGCAGTCAGATGGGACCTGCCTTAGAGAAATACTGATCTTTGTTCTGATGTGGACAAGAAATGTCTTAGGCTGTCTCTTCAAGAGCTTACCTGTTGTATTTGTTGTTGCTTTTATTCTGTTGTCCAAGGCTGGAGGGCTGACAAGAAGGAGCACAGGTAGGGATGTTAGGGAGGAGAGAAATGAATTGTCACGTATGAAAGAAAACAAAAGCAGAAGCAGAAACTTAACCAGTGCATAATAAACTGAGCTATGAAATAGTCACCCTCTGCTGACTCTCTGGAGGACAGCAGAAGGAGATGAGGCTCCTTGGAAGAAAAGCATCTTCTGTAGAGCCACATACAGCAGGCTGTGCACACTGAAGGCAGCCAGCAATGAGCAGTGCCATTGGGAACTGGAATAGTCCTGCTTTTCTGTGATGTGTGGGACAAGATCAGTTTGGCTCAGGATCTTTAGCCTCAGCCATTGTGTGGAGGAGGTTGACTGTGCAGAAAGGCAGGAAGGGGTCTTGTAGCTTAGGAGCTGTGGCAATAGACGTGTATGTAGTGACTGACACACGTGTGCCTCTGCACTTAGAAATGCCTCTGAGGAATCGCAGCCTAAAGGGCTGTGTCTTGCCCAAGATCATCCTCTCCTTTCTTGCTCTGCCTTTAGGCTGCAAGTCTTGCTGCTAACTACCAATAGCTGCCAGGAGAAAAATCAATAGGTGGGGAAGGCTTCTCAGCAGTCATATAACTGGATAGACCTTATTTATCTTTTGGTAGGAAACTATCAGATGAGTTCAAGTCAGATACTGAACTTTGTCTCCCACAGTATGGATGATTTGGGAATGAATCATAGAATCCTTAGAGTTCAAAGGGACTTTTAAGCCCATTTAGTCCAACTCCCCTGCAATGAACAGGGACACGCACAGTTAGATCAGGTTGTCCAGGACCACATCCAGCCTGGCTTTGAATGTCTCCAGGGATGGGGCATCCACCACATCACTGGGTAAGCTGTTCCAGTGCCTCACCATCACTGTGCCACTGTAAAAGACCTTTTCCTTAAATCCAACCAAAGTCTACCTTCTTTAAGCCTGAAACCATTTCCCCTTGTCCTGTCACAACAGACCCTGCTAAAGAGTCTGCCCCCTTGTTTCCTGTAGCTCCCCTTTAGATACTGAAAGGCCGCTATCAGGTCATCTCAGAGCCTTCTCCAGCCTGAGCAATCCCAGCTCTCTCAGTCTGTCCTCATAGAAGAGGTGTTCCATCCCTTGGATTATTTTTGTGGCCCTCCTCTGGACGCTCTCCTACAGGTCTGTGTCTCTCCTGTACTGAGGACTCCACATCTGCACACAGTAGTCCAGGTGAGTAGCCAACTCGAGTTTCATAGATGCCAATCTAGACTCTGGTTCCAGCCTCGTTCTAAAACACAGAAGGATTTTGGGTCAAGATCCATATCCATCTCCCAAGGTCTTCAGACATAGTAGAAT